AAGGTCTTTTCAAGTTCTCACTTTGAGTGCTGGCAAAGCCCATTTAGTGAATTGGCCTCTTTAAGGAGTAAGTCAAGAGATGGCCACTTAAGAAAAAATCAAACCGGGAGAGGTCACTATTTACATTCACTCTGAGCCAGGAGGATCCAAAAAATAACCATTAAGGATCTATTGTTGTCCAGTCCATGAGAGCCAGGGTGAATTTGGTTTAAGGCTTGGTCCTTTTTTTTTTTTGTGAGGGCAATTGGGGTTAAATGACTTGCCCAGAGTCACACAGCTAGGAAGTATTAGGTTTCTGAAGTCGCATTTGAACTCAGGTCCTCCTGACTCCAGGGCCAGTGCTCTATCCACTGTGCCACCTAGATGCCCAAGGCTTGGTCTTTGAGAAAGAAATCTTGCCAATAAACCCCAAGTTAACTAGATAGCTTTTGGCCATCAAAATTTACCTTCCTCTGGGCAGAACAACCTCAGGTAAGGACAGGGGAGGAAAGGGAGGAGAGAGGAGGAGAACAAGAGGAGAGGGGAAGAGAGGAGAGGAGAGGAGAGGAGAGGAGAGGAGAGGAGAGGAGAGGAGAGGAGAGGAGAGGAGAGGAGAGGAGAAGAGCTTTCTACAGTAATAGGAAAGTGAAGGAAGAGGGGAGGCCTCAGAATGAGTTCAGTTTGGGACATGTTGAGTTTAAGAAGTCTACAAGACATCCTTGTAGGAGATGGCAAATAGATAGTGGGAGGTATCTTAAAAAAAAAATCAGTAACGCAAGAGACCCACGAGGAAGACTGAGCAGGAGCCCGGCGGGCCTTACAGTAGGATCAGTCAGGGATTACTCGTTTGTTTTTCCTCCGGGGCGTTTTCCAGGAGTAATAGATGGTAAAGTAACAGTGTAGCCCTCATGCCCACCCCAGGGATTAGTTTTTGGGACCTGTCCCCTTCTAGTTATTTTGCATCTATCCTCCCCTCACATCTCCCAGCATAGACCGTGTTAGTTTCAGGGTTGTTGCCAGCCTCCCCACGCCATTGCGGCAGTTACTTTTGTATCCAGTCCACCTGGCGAAGTCTCCTGACCTAGACAAAGTCAGTTTCAGCGTCTCCCCGCGCCCCGCTCCGCGTAGCAACATCTACTTAGGCTGGTGCCTCGAGCTGCCCGGCGGTGGGCACTTAGAAGGCACCCACCTCCCACACGACCCGGAGCCCAGGAGGGGCGGAGCAGGGCGAGGTGCAGCGATCCCGAGGTAGGACGGTCTCCGCTCCCGCGCCCCACCCAGGCAGCTGCTCTCCTCTCTTAGAAGCACCGCCCCCGGCACCTCCCCCGCCACTCCTGTCCCTCCCCTTCTCCCACAAGGCGCCGCGGCGCGCAGGCACGCGGAGCGGGACGCGGCGGCAGGGTAATCACGACTCGCGGTGTCGCTGGCGCTGTTGCGGAAGTGGGGCGGGGCGGGGGTTCGCTCATGGCCGCTGCTGTCGTCATGGAGACTTCAGGTGAGTGCACGCTCCCGGCCCTTTCGGGGCTAGGTGGGAGTGAGCTCCCGGGGGCTGCCCATTTCGCGGCGGGGAGACTGCGAGGCTTGGCTGGGGCGGGAGCGGGATCTCGCGCGGCTCTGCGCCGAGATCTTCTGTCTTCCGCAGACGACGCCGGGAACCGGCTGCGCTTTCAGCTGGAGCTGGAATTCGTGCAGTGCTTGGCCAACCCCAACTACCTGAACTGTGAGTTTCCAAGGCTGCGCTGTCGGTGGCGTGGCGAGCCCCGAGTCCTGGGCTACAGACAGCCGGGGAAACTGGGGCGGGAAAGGGCAGGATCTTTTTGAGTCAAGATCAGGGCTTAGAGCACTTGGGCTAGGAGGGAGAGGAAACTGAGTCTGCAGCCAGAGAATGATTTTGAGACTTCGTGTTAATAGTGGGGCTATTGGGATTCTCGGAGGCTGCCCCAATGCACTAGGCATCGTTAGGTCATGTTCAGCACAATATGCCAACTCCTTGGAGATGCCAAAATGCCCCATGTGGCTCTTCACCCAAGTCCTAGACCCTGCCTGACCACCTAGTAAGCTCTTCCTCCAACCCGAGCTTCGGACTCTGGTAAATGTGCTTTGTCCAGCCTTTCTCTCCAGTTACCTGTTTCTGCTCACATCTGTATCTCTCTTCATCCATCCATTTCTGTCTGCATCCCTCCCGACACCCTTTTCACTAGGGGTGGTGATTTGGCCTAGTGGAAAGAGGCCAGGCATGCCTAGCTGAGGGAAACCTCTGCCCCTTGGAAGGCTTCTCCGGTAGGTGTCCCATGGGTGGGCAGGCAGGCCCGAGAGTGACTTTTTTCCTTGTCTTCCAGTCCTTGCCCAAAGAGGGTACTTCAAGGACAAGGCCTTTGTCAATTATCTGAAATACCTGCTTTACTGGAAAGAGCCAGACTACGCCAGGTACCTGAAGTAAGTCTCACCAGCAGATTGGGATTGGGAGGCTGGTTTTCCTTAGACGAATCACACCTGATTGGCTTCCCTGGCGCCTTCCAGGGCTTTGCTCCCACCTCTAAGTGGGAGGTTGGCAGAGTGCCAGCTGTACTTCCATCCTTAATTCAGCTAGGCAGCTGCTGGAGTCAGGAAGACCTGCTTCCTAGCTGAGTGACTCTGGGCAAGTCACTTCCCCAATGCCCTTCTGTTTATTCTACTGTGTAAAGGGGATAATAGCCCTTCCCTTCCAGGGCTGTTAGGAGCAAATGAGGTAATAATTGTAAAGTACTTAGCACAGTGGCTAGCATAGAGTAGGGACTTAAGGAGCCTTCTTCCTTTCCCTTCCCTTGTCATAGAAGCACAAATTTAGGGTCACCCAACACTCCTCTTTGCCTGTTGGTTTCCAGGCCAGGGTCAGTGTAGACACCAGCTCCTCCAAGGGGCCTCCCCAGTTTTCCCTCACCCTGTGGAACAAAAGTTCCCTGATGTCAGGATTGTCCCTGGGGGCCCCCCACTCCATGGCACACCTACATTTGGATGGTTTCTAGCCCACTGTTCTGAAATGACCTGGGAAGTAACAAGCCCATAAGTGTCCCACAGAGGGAAGTAAACAGATTTAGGGCAGAGGAGCAAGGTCGATGACAACCCCCCCATTATTGGACTTTAGGCCTGGCTCCAGAGAGATGGGGTGGGCTGTGCCAGGCTTCATCGGAACTTGAATTCGGGACCATCCCTCCCCAGGTACCCTCAGTGCCTGCACATGTTGGAGCTGCTGCAGTATGAACATTTCCGAAAGGAGCTGGTAAACGCCCAGTGCGCCAAGTTCATTGATGAGCAGCAGATCCTGCACTGGCAGCACTACTCCCGAAAGCGGATGCGGCTGCAGCAGGCCCTGGCAGAGCAGCAGCAGCAGCAGCCACAGCAGAACAGCAGCAGTGCATCCTCAGCGGGAAAGTGAGGGTGGAAGGGGAGCCTCACAGGGGCTCCTTGTAAAGGCTGTTCAGTGACTCTGTACAAACCACCTTAAGGTTTCTTTATTCTAATTCCCAAACTGAAGCAAAGTAAAGTTCTTGGTCAGAAGAAGCCAATGGGTGAGCCTGAGTGTTTAATCTGAGTAGGCCTGTTAGATCCAAGGACTCCAGTGCTCCTACATGGTAGGGAAGGGCCTGGCTCTGGGGGAGGCCCTAAGAGGTGCTAAGGAGCCCAGGCAAAGCTGGGGGTGGGGAGGACTTGGTCCAGACCTTGAGAGCACCCACAGAAATAAAGGGAACTATAACAAGGAAGCCCTTCCATCATTTACAAAGGGTGCTGTATTTGCAGAACATTCATTAGAGGCTTTCTAAACATTTTTGCTAATGTTACTATCACACAATTGATCACGAGGTTCCTTTCTAATCGAGACATCGGGGCTGGCGCCTCTTGCTTAATCCTCCTCTGAAAACAGCATCTCCACCAGACTGGCTTTCTGACACTCTGACTCCACCAGCTTCTGAGGCTGGAAGAGAAGCTCTGAGTCAGCTAAGTCTCCCCTCAGCCTCTGGCTGTGACTGGTCCTAACTAGTCGGATCATTGACTTGGCGGCTCCCCGAGGGCACTTCTTTAAGACTCGGCACCACCCTCCACCCGCACCTAGGCCCGGGGGCAGAGAAAGAGCTGGGGAGGGAGAGGCAGGTATCACAGGGTGTCTCGTTGGCAGCGGGCGCCCCAGCCAGACCCGGAAAAGGGGCACAGGGCACTCACCGTCCCGTACTTGAGCAGGGTAGGCACCGAAGTCAGGTTTAGTTTCTTTTTGAAATCATTGTTGGGATCTTTCCAACTATGGAGCAAAGAGCAAGTAGCCCGTGCGTGCTGGGTCCCGGACCGCCCCCAGCGGCCCCCTCCCCCCTGGCCTCCCGGGTGCACTTACTAGGGCCGGTCCCCGACCTGGCAGTAGATGAACACGGCGTTCTCGGGGATGTGCTTGAGGGCCTCCAGGACCACAGGCTCGGCTACTCGGGGACGGAAAGAGGGAGGGAGAGAGGGGAGGTCATTGGCCAGCCGGAGAGTGAGGCCAGAGCCGGGGCTCGCTGGCTTGCTCGCCTTCCCCGAGCCTCGATTTCCCCCTCCACCCCACCCCCAAGCCTCAGTTTCCCCCGGCTCACCCTGCACGCAGTCCGGGCACCAGCTGCGGCCCTCGGCGTCCTTGTTGCCCGTGAAGTAGACGAAGATGGTCTTGTCCCTGTGCTGCTCCACCGCCCCGCAGAAGTCACCGAAGCCCGACACGCGCACCTCCTCGTAATGGGCCATGCCGGGTTGGCGGACCTGGACACTCTCTGGCCGGGGCGGGGCATCCACGTGGGGGGCGGGGCAACAGCCACTTCCGGGGGTCTTCGCTCCGCCCAGCACCGCCCTAGAAGCCGGAAGTCCTCGGCCGAGTCGATACGGGAGCCGCCCAGGCCTTCCGGCGGCCAGACGACATAGCGCAGCCACTGCTCATGCGCAAAGCCGGCACCGCCCCGCTACTGCCCCCTCCCCCCTGCCCAGCGTCTGGCCCTTCTCGGCTCCAGTCGGCAGCCTCTCGTCTTCCCTTCCCGGCTTCCCGGCAGCTCCTGCGCCGTCGTCCTGGTAACGAGCTGCGCGGGCCGGAAGCGCGGGCCCGAGCACCGGGAAGAAGGGCCCGGAAGCCCTGGGGCAGGACGCAGGGGCTGCTTCATCACCCATCTCCACGCCTTTGCCCAGCTTGGCCCTTCCTGGGTCGCCATGGGCCCCAGCAACCTGCACACCCAGGTACCCCCGCCCTGTGCACCATCCTCAGAAACTGGCCTGCATGCCTATGTGCACACGTGTCTGTGTGCCTACGCATGGGTACACATGCGTATGAATGTGCATGCTCTAGGTATACACGTGCCCGTGTGCGTGCATGCCCTGCACGCCTATATGCACACATGTATGTGTACCTATGCATGGGTGAACATATGTGTGAATGTGCATGCTCTGGATGCACACATGTATGCCCTGAATGCCTATGGGCACACGTATGTCTGTGTGCCTATGCATGGGTGCACACGCATATGAATGTGCATGCTCTGGGTGTGTGTGTGCATGCCCTGCACGCCTATGTGTACACACGTATGTGTGCCCGTGCGTGTGAATGTGCATGCTCTGGGTGTATGCGTGCCTGTGTGTGTGCATGCCCTTCACGCCTATGTGCACACACGTGTCCATACATATTTGCATTTGTGTGTACATGCGTACACCCAGAGCATGCAAATTCACACCCATGTGTACCCATGCGCGGGCACACAGACACATGTGACCTTGTTCTGTCGCCCCCACTCTCCAGCTGCAGTTCAACAGGAATGTGCCTTCACTGCCTGACAACCTGGGCATCAGGTACTCGGGCCCACGCCCCATCATCATTGAGAAGCTGAGGCCCCCAGACAAAGCCAGCGACCCTGGGCTTCTGGAAGGGCCCGACCACCGGGCCTCGATCCCCTTTTCATTTGTATCTGAAGAAAAGCTCAGCCTGGCTGTCCACTTGGCTAAAAGAGATGTCAAGAGAAAACAGCTGCAAGAGCTGGTGGTGGGGCAGGGCCCCCCAAAGGGCAGCCGGAGCAGGACTGAGCCGGCGGAGAAACCTCGTGGCCCCCTCCCAGGCAGGCAACGCACCTCTCAGGTGGAGACAGCTGGCACCAGGGCCAAAGTCTACCTCTCTCCGGACCCTGGGTGCAGTTCTCTGCCCACGAGGGACCCGGGCCCTCAGCTCTGTGCCCCAAAAGTAGCGCACTCTCAGAGCGTGCTCGAGCTCCGGCGGCTGCAGAAAGAGATGAGCACCTGTCTGCAGAGGATCGAAGGGATGGCCACCAAAGGTGAGAGAGCCAGGCTTAGACCCGGCTGGAGCAGGGAGGTCTCCCCCAAGGTCACCTCCCTGCCCAACTGCTGGCCCAGGTTTATCTCCTTCTTCAGAAACCTTTCCCAAAGCCTAGGATAAGGGTAGAGTCAAAGGGAGGGATTCCAAAGTGTGGTCAGGGGCTCCCCTGCTGGGGACCTTTCAGGGGGTACCTGCTTGGGCCTAATGATGGATGGGCCCCAGGGGACCCTTCCCCCCATGGGCTTTTCCCCATAGGATGCCCTTCCCAGAGCTTGAGCACAGCTATTTCCAAGAGGGAAGTCTCAAGAAAAAGACAGGTGGTGAGGCTCCAATCTAAGCAGGAGTCCTGTTCTTGTCCCGGGGGACATTGGAGGGGAAGGAGCAGACAGGGATGGGAGCAGCCAGATGGCGGCAGGGCTGCTGGGGCCACCTCCTCCTCTAAATGCTTGGGTGGAATCCTAGCAGTGTGGCCTCATAATCTGGGGCCTCGCCAAAGATTCTGGAACCTTGGCACCCACCTCCCATCCAGCCGGGGGAAAATCTCCTTTCAGAAAGACTGGAGGAAGGCCTGGATCCGGATGAGGCTGAGCGAAGTCGCGTGCGGAGTCAGGAGCAGGCCGTCCGCACAGCCCGCACACTCTACACGCTCCAGCAGCAGGTAGGGACAGGCTTCCCCACTGCCCGGGGCCTGTTGACGGACTTCTTGGTTGCCTGCCCTTCCCTCTCCTCTCCTCCCCTAGGCGGGTTGGCTCACCAAATGCTGGGTGTGGGGCTTTTTAAGGACTGCCTCTCCCCTCCCCAGGTTCAAGGGCCCAGTTCTCCATTCTTGCGGACCCTCTTCCTTCTTCCCCTCTCTGTCCTTTGGGCCTTTGCTGTCCCAAGTTCTGCCCCACCCCACTCAAGTCTGCTTCCTCTGCCCCAGGTGGCAGCAAGCATGAGACCCCTTCATTTTACAGAGAAAGGACTTGAGGTGACTCGCCCCAAGGTCATAGAGGGAGGGAGCCTCCAAAGTAGGATTCGAACCCAAGTCTTCCTCCTACCTCTCTCATGGCCCTTGAACTTTTCTAAGTTTTAGTTTCTTTCTTATTACAAACTTACCTGCCACAAGGAAACACAAACATTTCAGTCTTGAAAGACCTAAGAAGAAGGTTGGTGAGGGACCATTTGTATTGAAAAGTGGGTCCGTGAAGTTTCCCCAGTGTCTCCCTGGTTCTTTGTGTAGTTGTTCTCGGTGTAAGATGGGTGAGCACATTTGGCAGGTGGTTTTGGTCTGTATCCTCAGTGCCTGGGATGGCGCCTCACACGTAACCAGGCACAGATTAGATTGATGGGTAGGATTTCAGCAGCTGGCAGAGTGAGTGAGAGGCATTCTAGGGGTAGAGAATGCCTTGAGCAAAGGCATGGAGGCAGGAGAATGCCTGGTGTCCAGTTTGGCCAGAGGAAAGCACCTGTGGAATGGGGTCATGAGACGTGACGCTGTAAGGGGCGGGGGTCCTGTGTCAGAGAAAGAGGCATCGTCTGATGGGAGGATGGTAGAGAAGTCTGAGGTCCCCCCCCCCCGGGTGGGGCGGGGCAGGCTGAGGACATCTGGTTTTGGGGGCCTACTTGGGAGGGTGCTCTTTTGTGTGTGTCACTCCCCCCCCACAAAGGGATTTGGTTGGTTTCTTCGTGGGCCAAATGCCCACAGAACTGCTTGGGCCCCAGGAGCCCCTCCCTGATGGTTCTGTTGGGGGACTGAGAAGTGTGGGGGCCAGTAGGACTCATTCCCAGATCCCAGAAGTCTCCCCTTGCTTCCTCTGTTTGGGAGGGAGAAGCAAGGGTGTCCAGTTGGAGTTCTTCAGGGAGGAGACCAGAGGAGAGGGGTGTTTGTACAAATGGTCACTGGTCATCTTGCCTCCAAGCAGCATCTGAGGAGGGTGCCATCTGTCATTTTCACCACAAGAATGTTGGGAGGAAACCAGCTCTCCAAAGGAAAACATGCCAGCAGTCAGCTTGGGAGCTGCTTGTGAGAGCCCTCGGGAGGACCCCCCAAGGGGTGAGCCTCCTCCCTCCTCCCCACCTTCTCTTCCCGTGTGACTGGGGCACTGCCATCGTCCTCCACATCTCTTGGGAAGGCCAGGGAGCCCCCGGGTTCTTTTCAGTTCCCCGCATTCTCTCCGATGGCCTACTCATATGGCCCTCCCTGCCTCCTCTGCTCTGTTAGTGAGCCTTGAAACTCCACATGCTCCCTACAAGGCAATGGGTGTTAGAAAGATGGACCTTTGGTTCTGCCATCCAGTCTCTGCCTCCTGCCCAGCTCTGGGCTCTGCCCCCTCTTCATGCACAAGATCTGACCGAGGTGGGCGTCTCGGCTCAGCAGCAAAGGCCTTGTTGGTAGAGGTGGGCTGAGAGCCGAAGAGTGGTGAGCCTCTCTGGGCTCGGCTGGCCTCCTGAGGTAGCCTCCACTGGCCTGACCTAGAATCATGAATAGATAATGCAAGGACAGCCGCAGCAAGCAGCTCTGAGAGTCAAACAAATGGTGCGAAGCTTCCCTTGTGTACCTGACCCCCGGAAGATGGAGGATGGTCAAAGCTTCCCCAAGGAGATGGCAGCAGCCCGGGCAAAGGCAGGGAGGTGAGAGATGGCCTGTCCTGGGCCCACACGGAGGCTGGTGTGGCTGGAACGTACAGAGAATGGCCGAGAGGTGAACCAGGGAATCGGTACAGAAAGATGGGCTGAAGCCGGACGGAAGGACTTGAAATGCCAGACAGAAAAGCTGATTATTGAGCGGGTCGCATTGGCCACTGTGGTGCGTGGTCTGGATACAGGAGAAGCAGTCAGAAGGCCGTTGTGATTGTCCGGTCAGAGGGGATGAGGGCCTGAATCAGGGTGGTGGCTCTGTGTATGGAGGAAAGGGGATGGAGGGCAGAGGTTGGCCACCCCTTGAGAGGCAGATGAGGAGTTCAGGTGTGGGTAGGAGGACCCTGGTATGTCTTCATTAAAGATCTACATGGATGCTTTCCCAGACCTAAAGTCTATGGAAGAGTACTTGGACAGGAAGGATAAAGGCTATGGGAGTGGGGGTGGAGGCTAGCCCTTCTGGCTTGGAAACGTCGCCTCCTGATGAGTGGACTGGCTGCCTGGGGAGGAGCCCCAAACACACTTGTGAGGATTTCTGACAAGCTTCTGCTGGTGTTAATTAAACAAGAGGCCTTCAGGAAAAGGGCCCTCCCAGCAGGCCAAAGGCCCAGCCAGAACACTGTGCTGATCTCAACCCTCCTGACCCTGCCTGGGGCGGGGCTTCTTCCACGGCTGATCCACCTGCTCCTGAGGGCTCCTGGACCCTTGTTTGGCTTTGATGGATTTAAAATGTCACGTGGTGCACACAAAACAGAAGAACAAAGACTGAATTTCTCTGTGAAGCAGCTGGATAAAAACTTGGCCTCTGGGTCTCCTGGGAAGTCTGTGGTGGACTGAGAGAGCCCAGTCAATCCCAGAAACAGGCCTTGGGGATGATCGGGGTGGCCGCTGCAAGCTGGCAACATCCTTCCTGGGAGATGTGAAGCTTATGTCCCAGGGATGTGGGGTGGCAGGAGGAAGCAGAGCCTGAGAAGAAGCTAGGATAGCCTTAGCATTAGGGATGGTGGCAAGCCTCTGGCCTTATGAGGACCTCGCACCATCGCCAGCGTCTGCGGCACTTTGGGTGCTTTTTTTCTATGGAAATGTGCAAAGATTCAGCACAAACACACAGCAGGGCAGGGCAGGTGTTAGGGGGGGCGGAGGCCTCATTTCCTGATCTGTGAGAGAAGCTGGTGTTGAAGCCCCCCCTCCCACACTCACACATACACATATACATGCACACGCATGTATACACTCACACATATATACGCACTTAATACACTTGTACACGCTCACATACACACCCTCAACACACACACATACCGTAATACACATGCACACACATACACTCACATCCATAGTGCACTGATGCGCACACTTACCCATATATGCACGTGCACATGTACACACGTTCTCACATGTACACACACAGTTCACATGTGCACCGACATGCACACGCACCCCTACACACGTGCATGCACACATGTACGCACACATTTCTCAATGTACACATGCAATTCACACACATACTCACATGTGCACCGACATGTACCCTCACCCCCAAACACATGTGCATGCACACATGCTCACATGTACACGTACAATTCACACATATACTCACACTGCACTGTCATGCACACTTACTCCAAACACATGAGTGCACATACAGGTATGCACACATATTCTCACATGTACACCAACATGCACCCTCACCCCCAAACACGTGTGCATGCACACATGTATGCACACACGCTCACAGTACAATTCACACACATATACTCACACTGCACTGACATGCGCACGCATCCCTATACACATGTGCATGCACACATTTCTCACATGTACACACGTAACACACACATACTCACATGTGCACTGACATGTACCCTCACCCCCCAAACACATGTGCACACACACATGTATGCACACACATTCTCACATGCACACTCACCCCTACACACATGCGTGTGCACACACACACACACACACACACATGTCCCTCACAGCTGACCCAGAGAGTTGGTTACAGTTCCACCTACTGTGTGCTCCACTCCGATGCCCTGTACACTCACCCTGGGCTCCTCCCGCTGGACTCCCTTGTCCCAGCCAGCTCTCTGGGCCCATTCTGCTCGCTGACTCTTTTTCTTTTCTGATGAATAGGTGAAAGAAATCCAGGAGGAGCTAGATAAGTTGAGTCCACACAGAATCAAGCACACTCAGAAGGTCAGTCCTGGGATGGTCAGTCACCACGAGCCCCGGGGGAGGGGCGGGCCTGGCCATCCCACGCTTGCCCGGCAGCCGTGTCTCCTGCTGTCTCCAGTCCAGGGCGATGTCTCGATTGGCGGCCGCCCAGCGGGGAGCCATCCGTGCTTTACAGCTGTTTGTCAGTCAGTTCGCAGACTCGATGGAGCAGGCGGTTTCTGAGCGTTACAGAGAGCTGGGCAGTCTCATTCGGCAGCTTTCCATTTGCTCTGCCAGACTGGACACAGATCCTTCTGTCCCAGTTGTGGTCCTTGATCTCCTGCAGCAGATCGAGGTATGGCCGCGGGGAAAGGGGCCAAGTACGTGTCCCCAGGAGAGCACTAGCTCTGTTCCAGCTCTGGCCCCTGCTGACGGAATGCAGGCTCCTTGAGGGCAGCCTGTCACTTGTTAACCTGGCTCACCTGCTGCCTAAGCCCTGATCGTGGTGATGGGGCCGTGGGCTGGGGGTGCCCCCTGCAGAGGCCCAGCTGGCCAGCGTCCATCGGGGAGGCGGGCTGCTTTGGTGGAGCCCTTCAGACAGGTGGGGATGAGTGAGCTCCCCCATTAGAACGCGGGCCTCAGGTCCCCCGTGTCTGGCTCCTCCCTTTCCCCCCATTTCCATAAACCTCCACCAGGCAGCTGGCCAGCAAGCTAGAGGCCTCCCTCTGAATCGGCCTGTACTTTGTGGATTCCCAGGCATTTCTTGGGCTCTGGTCTGTCTGTAGCCTTTCATTCTGGCTTGTGTGTGCATTCCAGGTTGTGTGCAGGTTTGGGGGGGGGGCGGGGCAGTGTACAGGTACAGAGAAGTATTACTTTTCAGAGCCTTGAGGGGAAGCCGGGTCAACTTTCCACAAATTAATTGTAGAGGATTTTTTTTTTTTTGCCATGGAGCCAGAGAAGATCTGGGAGAGGCCTCTAGCTTGGCCCCCTCAGTCACCTTGGTGGTAGTGATTTGTTGTCAGCCTCAGAAGGCTCTGGGTTGTGGGGGGCCGTGTCTTACGGGTTGTTCCCCGGTTCTCTGGGGAAGGCCTTTCGTGGTAGCTGGCGTGGGGCCGTAGAAGCCCTCCTCGTGCAGGCCTGCTGATGTGGGAGATGGCACACAGGTCCCCAAGCTGGTGGGCAAGCAGGGGACTGCCTGGGCCTGCCGATGTCTCCGTGAACCCCTCGTGTGGTTGTCGGCGACCCAACGAGCTGTCGTGCAGTGCATTGTCATCTGATTTTTAAACGCACCTGTTTGGGCCAGGCTTCTGCTGGTTACAAATCGTTCCCATAAAGTGCTCATTTGGGGTGGTTGAAATTTAGATATCTGTTTTTGTCTTTAAGAGTTGTCACCTTCTGTTGCTTAAGGGCATTCCTGTGTGGGAAGCAGATGGTAAAGAGGGGCTTTAATAGCTGGAGAATAGCATTGACTTTTCACTGATTTCACAGAATTCTTTCATGAGTTGAAGAATCCCCTTGCTAGGGGCTGCCATAGGGGCCAGTCATTTTCTGGACCCTTGAGTGTGTCCTGAGTCTTTATGAGATAAATTTCATGTTTCCTGGCAGGAGCTTGATTCCCTCCTGGAAAGGAAACAGTCACTTGGAAAGGTAAAGAAGCGCTTCCCTGGAGTTCGAAGCCAGTCTCCATTGAGTTTCCCAATGGCCTCGGAGAGGTCCCTTAGCACATCACGAGTGAGGGAGAGGAAGCGCCTGGTGGCAAAAGAGAGACTTCCCCAGGAAGGGAGGCGGCCTACTGTGAGAAAGCTCCTCGAGGGTAAGTATTCTACTGTTCGGTCTCAGGAGCCCTTCTGGAGGGCTTTTGGAGGCTCTCAAGAAGACAGCATTGCTGCTGTAGGCAGCCTTCTCTGGGTTCGGATGAGATTATGGTCCTAGAACCTCGTGGACTTCTGGGAGTTACTTTCAGTAATATGGGACTGGGAGGACACCCTCTGCCTTGATTTCTGCGTAGTCTTCTTCTGGCGTGGAGAGCTTAATACGGTAAGGTCCTCCCTTGCCTGGAGCCAGGGAGACCTCTTCCGGCAGAGCCCTGGACCTGTGGGGGTCCAGTACCTCAGGAAGTGAGGGTCTTCCTCAGGGCACAGGAAGAAGAGACAGAAGCAGAGCAGTCTGGGGACCAGGCCAAAGAGGCTCCTGAGGTCTGTTCTCCAGGTTACCCAGTAATACGTGAGGCTCCCTGAGGAGGGCCAGCAAGTGCCCAGCTGAGCAAAGTGGCCATTGAGAGGGCCTTCCAGTGACCAACAGCAGGCGGAGGCAAGCTCAGCGCTCCCCTCCCCCACACTCGGCTCCTTGTGGCCTAGTGAGCAGTGCTTGATGGTGTGGGTGCTGCACGTAGCCCTCAGATGGCAGTGGGGGGCGAGAGCACGGGGAGATGGGGGCCTCCCCCAGGACGGTGCCCCTGCCTTGGTCCAGGAAGGCTGGGCCAGAGGCAGCTCAGGAGGACAGGGGGCAGCTGCCCCAACCCTGCTGGGCCCCAAGCTCAGAAAGGAAGGAATACGCTTCGGGGCTCCAGCCCCTCACTTGACAGTTAAGGACTGGGAGGCTCAGGGGGCTTGACTTAACGAGAGGCGTGGTGCCGATTTGAATCCTAGCTGGGCCTCCGGCTTTGTTCTTAGGGAGGGGAGGCCTGGCCTCAGGGAGAAGGGAAGAGGAGGCACCCAGGGCTTCCTTCCCTTGAGGCTCTGTCCTGGGCAGACTTTACTTTAGAGGCATTAACCACCGTTCTGATCTGGGCCTCTCTAAAGTGGGGGCTGGGAGCTTGGGGTGTGCTTTGAGATTCCTCCTCTCCATCTGTGGGTCCTAGGACAAGGCGTGCCCAGTACCCAGCCTGGTGAGGGAGCCTGCCTAACTGCAGCAGGTGCCAAAGTTGGGGGTTCTGGGGGGCAGTCTCCCCAGCTCAGGGACCCCGGCCTCAGGGCAGGAAGTCTTGCAGGCCCTGAGGAGGCTCAGGCTGGCCTGGGTGGTGTGGGGTGTGGCAGATGAAGGCTCACAGAGGGGAGCCCAGCCAGCTAGGTTGGAAGCCGTGGGTCTCTAGCTCTAGGGCCAGACTCTGTCGCCCCAGACGTGGGCCTCAGGAGGGGCCGGGGAAAGAGGTAGCGCCCTGTAAAGGGAGGGCGGCGTCTCGCACCAGCCCACCTCTTGGGCTTCCTCCAAGGCTGATCCCCAGAGACGGAGGGAGGGGGTGCCCTGGCCTGACGCGGGCATCTTGTTTCCTCCAGACTGATCGTTCCCGTGTTTCCTTCTGTACCCTCTGCGTAGATGAGTGCCCATCTTTTGCATCGAGTCCTCTGCACCAGATGTTGGGCCAGCCCAGAGAGGACCTCGCCTCCGACCAGAATGCTGCTTTCAAAATGGGGCTGGCCTCGACGAAAGGAGAAGCCGTGAAAAAGTGGCTGCCCGCCACTGCCGGGACCCTCCGAAGGCGAGGAGCTGAGACAGCTGCGAAGTCAGAGCAAGTACGTACTGGCCTGGGGTTCAGGACAGGTGTCCAAATTCGGGCAGTGGCTGTCCTCGGGGCTCCCAGAATGGGGTGCTTTGAGAGGGCCGCGTCGCTGCTCCTGAGCCTACTGGTCCCCCCGACATGCCTGTTGACCTTGTTGGGTTCACTCGGTGATTGCGAATGTCTCTGGGCCCTGCAGGCTGGGGAACTGAAGTGTGTCGTAGGTACTTGGGGGCCCGTCCGATTGTGGGGAGTTCTGCCCCTGTGGGATGGCAGGACCTCTTGAGTCTTTCATAAGTCCCAATTGCCAGAGGAAGTGAGGCAGAATAATCCATGGAGGCTCTGAGTTTGCTCGGTCAGAATTCATTTCCAGGTAGATGGTCGAGACTCTTTCTCCCAGTGTATTATTTATTTTTTCAAATAACTAGCATTTATTTTCTCTCTCTCACCTCTTATCTCTGCCCCTCCCCCCAAAAAAAGGGGAACCTTGGTAATCACTTTGCATAGTCAGGTCAAGCCAACCCCCCCCAGTGTGTGTTAGGTGCAGGGGGCACCTGCTCCGGTGTGGGGGCAGTCACTGTCCTCTGCAGCGGGTCACACCATCTTCCCTAGGATTGGCACATGGGAAGGGGACAATGAGTTTGTTGGGGGTGGGCCAGGGCCAACAGCCCACCTCCTCAGGGCCCAAAGGTGGTACCCGATGCCCCAAAGACCAGAGAGGGTGCCCCACAGCAGAATTAAGCCTGTGGGCAGAAACCCTTCGCTTGTATGGGACAGAGGGCCCAGCTACTCTGAGCCCTGCCTCAGTCTGGGATCTCAAGTCACCTGCCGTCAGCAGGATGGTGAGTGACATAATGAGGGCTGGTTGAGGGACCTCATTCACCCCCCCCCCCGCCGATGCCACCTAATGCTTCGCTTCCTCTGTGCCCAGCCATCTCATGGGGCAGGCGGCCAACCAGGAATGGTCAGGCCCACACTCTTAGTGCTGTCCCCCTCTCAGGGCCTCGTTCTGGGCTACAACCCTCTGTCTCTCCCTCTGTCTCCCCCTTCCTCTCCATCTCTCACAGCCCATTGCTTTTTGAGGGGCTACCTGGCCACAGTGAGCCAGCTTCATTTCTACACCAGCTGCTCTGGCCTTTATTAAGTGCCTCCTGTGTGCCAGGCAGCCTCCAAGGTGTTGGGGTTGCAAAGAGAACAGTGAGAGGGCCCCTGGCAACGTGATCCATACGAGTGGAAGTGAAGCAGGGGGAGGACTTCGTGGGGAAGGTGGCAGCATGTGTGGAGGTTTAGAAATCGGTGATGGAATCGCATGGGGAGGGACCTCAGGGGTCCCCTCAGCGTCTGAGGGAAGCAGAGGCTTTAGGTGGTGGGCAGTGGCCCCTGGAGGTGACCCAGTCAGAGCTGGGCCACTGTCAGTATCACCGGTGGCTTTTGTTTTTAGGGGACAGACATTCCTCTCGTGACCTTGTCGTAAAGGGCATTCGGCGTTCCCCGTCAGTAGCCCCCCACGTCGTCTCCCCCCACGCCATTGGAGAATAAAAACCATTTTTGTAATTGCATCCAGAGCCAAGCAAAACCATTCTTCCCGTGGGGGCTGCACGTATGCACGCACACATGTACAAAGCACCACATGCACACGTGTGCACACACACACGCACACACAGAGGGCTGGCGTGAAGAAGGAGCCATGGCTGTCTCTCGGTACCACAGAGGGATGGGGTAGGATGCGGGCTCCCTCTGGCTCGTTCCTTTGTCACCCTGCGTCCCCTGGCTTCATGCGGGGGCGTCGTGTCAGTGGGCCCCTCGTTCTTCGGGTTCTGCTTGGTTCTTTCCTCCTCGTTGTATGAATGGCCTTGAAACTGTCCTTAGTTATTGCTGTGTAGACGTCATGGCATGAGCAGTTCTGCCGCTTCCACCGCCTTCCTTCGGCTTCTGCCCTTGATTAGGCGGCTTGCGGTGCTGGCGCTTCAGCTTTTTCTTTGATCTCTTTTGGGCTAGGGCCCCATGGGGCCCGTAGCCTCTCCAGCCTCTCTTGTTCTGAGGAGTGGGAAGGGGGCTCTCAGAACTGCTTTCACTTGCCTTCGCAGAACCCAGCTTTCTTCCCTTGGGAACTACCCGTTCATACCCTTAAGCGAGGACTCTTCTCCTGGAAATTTCAGTCGATTCCTCATCTAGCTTGAAAATGAGACTTCTCTTTCCTGAGAAACTCACTGGGGGGCAGCTAGGTGGCACAGTGGATACAGCACCAGCCCTGAAGTAAGGAGGGTCTGAGTTCAAATCTGGCCTCAGACCAAACACTTGCCACTTAATAGCTGTGTGACCCTGGGCAAGTCACTTAATCTCAATTGCCTAAAAAATTAAAAAAAAGAAAAAGAAAAAAAAAGAGAAACTCACTGCTCAGAGTCTCTCCTCAGTTCATTTCTTTTTTAATCTCTGTTTTCTTGGGTTTGTTTGTACAAAACCATTTCATTTTTATGTCATCAGAATGATTCGTTTCCTCTTCTCTGATCCTGTGTTCCTTGTTTGATTACAAACTCTTCCTGAGCTTAAGCCAGCCCTGCGTTCTTGGTATAAAAGCCTCATCTGTCATGGTATATAGTCTCTGGGAGTCGCTGATGGTTTATTTAAAGGGCTGCATCTTGTTCAGTAAGGCTACTGGCTCTATCATTTCTTTTTCTAATGCGCTTCTCCCTGGTTTGTGTCCTAGAAGGAATGAGGTGAGATATGAGACAGGGCAGGTCCTTGCAGTGGGTCAGGTGTGACGAGCATCTCTTGGGGCCATGGTGAGAGAAGGAGACATATTCAGGTGCGAGAAGAAAAGTCAAGGGTGCTACTCCTAGAGATGGGGCAGGGCCGTGATCGGGTGTCGAAGGGGCTTCAGGGATGTCTACAACGAGATGGCCACTGGGCAGACTGGAGGTCAGGAGAGAGGTTCAGGTTGGATCTATAGATCTGAGCCTCACCAGCATCCTTCACGCTGGCACGGAGCCCACAGGAGACAGCATGTTGGGGCTTACCCCTGCTTAGTGGGGGAACGTCCTGGGTGGAGATCCCATAAAGGAGCCACGCCAGTGACTGTGGGGAGGTTGAGATGGTGCGAAGACCCTCAGAACTGGAAGTTAAGGGAGTCGTGACAAGTGGGCCCCGAGCACAGTATTTTCTTCCACTGTTTGCATGGCAGCCATTGCACACTCCCCCTGCTCTTCCTCCTGTGCTGTTCCTCTCAGCTCTTGAGCCTCTCCCTCTTCTATTTTTATAGAGACAGAGGCCATTTGTCACGGGCTTCCTTTCTTCTCTTCTATCCCTTCCGAGCCCCTCAGCCTCCCACCTGCCTCCCATTTTCTCCCTTCAGTCTGTGACAGAGATGGGGCCCTTGCCCAGAACACCCCAGCACATGTGGGGGAGGGGGCCTCCCTTGGTCCCCTTCCTTCCCTTCTGATTTAGCAGCCTCTCTTATCTACCTGGTGCCCCCCCTCCTGCGGCCCACTCCTGAGAATCCTTCAGGTGACCCTCCTGGCCCCTCAGGCACCACCTCTGTCTCTCTTCCCTTCCCCCCTCAAATGCCCAGAACTAGCTGCTGGCATCCCCCGTTCTGGCCCCTGTTGAGGAATGCCGGGTTCTGGCCCCTGGCCTTCTGTGTCGCCCAGGCAGTCCCTCCAGAGCATTGGACCTCCCATCCCCGCTCCCCGCTCTCCACCTTGGCCTCTGGTGGGTCAATATCCATGGGCATCCGTCATGGCTGTGACCTGGGCCCTTTTCTTTCTCCATACTCTGTCTCTGTCTCCCTCTGTCTTCCTCTGGCTGTTTTTGGCTGTCTCTCTCTCTGTCTCTCTCTGTCTTTGTCAGTCCCTGTCTCTTTTTGTCTCTGTCTGTCTCTATGTCTCTGTGTCTCTGTCTCTGTTAGTCCCTCTGTCTCTATCTCTGTCTCCCTCTGTCTGTCTTTCTGTCTCTCTCCTCCCCGCCCCCTTCCCTCCCCTTGCTCTGTCTGTCTCACCGTTGTTCATTTCACCTTTCATGGTGCCTGCCATCTCCCTGCAGATAACCCCAGCCCCCTGGGCTGGTCCTGCTGCGTCTGCTGCGGCCTATCAGACAACTCCGTCATGTCCCGTAGACATCTCATGCTCCCCATCCTTCCTGCTGGGGTTCCCCATGCAATCCCATTTCTCCTCCAGACTGGTCTGGTTGATCCTGCCTTGCTGGCTTGTGCCCCTCACACAAGCCTGGAGAATGGCAGCAGCTTCTGGGGGCCTCTGGGATCCCAGTCTCTTCTCTGATGCTGCTTCCACATAGCGGGCAGAATGGTTCTCTCAGGAAGTACCCCTGGCCCTGTCTGTTAGTAGGATACAGGAGAACCTGGCATCAGATGGGGTCGATCCGGCTCCCGCGTCCCCTCCCCCACCCTCTGTGCTCAGCCAGGTGGCCCTCCCTCTCCCCCCTCCAGGCCTTGGCACAGGCAGTGTCCTCCTCCCTGCCGCTTCTGGTGCTCCTTCCTGGTGTTCCTGGCTGCCCTCCAGTCACCTGGTCTCTCCTTCTCTGTGTGGCAACTCCAAACACAGTGCCTGGCATGTGGGAGGGACTGGATAAGTGAAGGCTGTGGGATTCACTTGGATGTGAGTGGCTGAGAACATGGGCTTTAAGAGCTCGGGTTCTTCTTTTCTGGAGCCTGGTGACAGTGGAAGTCACCTAGGGGTGTGTGTGTGTGTGTGTGTACGTGCGTGTGTGTGTATGTGTGTGTGTGCACGCATGTGTGTGTATGTGCATGTGCACACATGGCCCGTCATGTCCTGTCTTGCGCCCCCGCCCCAGCCGCACACGCACACACAAGCACACTCATACAGGCCCTGGGGGAGAGCCTGGCCTAGCCCAAGGCCTGGGGGACATGGGAGCAGCGGGGAACGGGGCTACCATGGAGTAACGGGTCAGAGTTCCCTTCAGGGCCTCCGTAAAGCGGAAAGGCTGAGACCCCGCCAGGCACAGGCCAAGGACCGCAGGTTCCAAAGGACGACTGTGTCATTCCGATTGAAGAGGAACCAGCCCCCTGTGAAGGAGCGCTGCGCACCGTGGACCCCTCCCAACCCCACCTCCCCACCAGCCTCCCCTAAATGGTAGGTGCAGAGGGGCGTGGAGCCCCCTGGGATGTCTAGGGAGGGAGGGCTGGCTGCATCCCCAGGCCCCGGGAGAGCCCTGAGCCGCCGTGCCCGTGTCTGTCCATGCGGGACCCATGTCGCAGCCCCTTCCATTCCCAGGCTCTCCCTTGTGTCCCAGCAGGCACGGGCCTCGAGAGGCCATGGCCATACTAGCACCCTCCCCAGAGCCTGTGACCTGCCTCGCCGGGCCATGCTGGCCCCGTTTCTTGAGATGGAGTCTCTGCCGAGTCCTGGGCTGGGGGGAGGGGATGGTAATCGAGGCCTGTCTTTCTGCTTATACAGTGTTGCTTGGGGAAAGGGGAGTGCCAGCCCCAAAGATGCCAAAAGGGAACCGTCTCTCCAGCAGGAGGCGATCGGGGAGGAAGGGAACCGCGCAGACCCCGTGGAGCATGAGGCCCTCAGGTTGGCACCAACAGCCCCTGTCTGTGCATGGGTCCCCCAGCACAGGCCTCTCAAACTCTTCTTCTGTGTAGGGAGCTGGCCTGGCACCATCCAAAGACCAGGGTAGGGGGGCCCCAGCCCCAAAGGAGGGGAAAGCAAAGGAGCCACCTTCAGACGCCCCTGGTACCCTCGCTGCAGATGAAGTGAATGGGGGAGCTGGGCATGGGAAGCTCCCTAGGAACCCCCACGGCTCCACGGGGTATTGGTGGAGGTCACAGCTGGCTTTCTCCTTGGGGGCCCTCGGGTGAGTCTGGCCCAGCCCCAGCCCCTCCCCCATTCCTGGCCCTGCCAGTAGGAGGGTGTAGTCTCTGGGCCTCAGTTTCCCCTGCAGAAATGGCCAATCAAAAACCAAGCGGTTCAAGCCCCAAGGGCCCACATGGGTCTGGATGACGGGGGATGCGGGGCTATCCTAGGGCCCTCTGAGAGCAAGGACCCATCACCATGGGGCAGGGTGGAAGGACAGCCTGGCGGACAGCCTGAGCACTGATGGATGCCCTGGTCTTCTCTCTCAGGCTTGCCTGGCTAGATGCTGAGAGTGCCCGGAGGCTGAAGGAGCTGGCCGAGCTGAAAGCCCAAGAGCTGGCCGACATCCAGAGGCTCAGGTGAGGGAGCGTGGGGGGAGGAAGGGCGTGTGCACGCCCAGAACACACACGTGCACACGTCCTTACAGTGTGCTCACATGTGCATGCATGCTCATACAACCACACACATGCACACACAGGCACCTTCACAGTACATATACACACATACATGCACACACACGCATACAGATGCACACACACTCATACGTAGGCACACTCATGTGTACGCACACGCATTCACATGCATCCACATATACATAGTACACATGCTCACAAACATACATGGCACTATGCACATATGTGCACATACCTACACACACTCATCCATGTTGACACACATGTCATATATGTAGTCACACTCACACTCACATACAAACACATTCATTTCTAAATCCAGCGTCCAGGGCGGGTGTGCGTGGGTGTGTATATTACATATCATTACAACCGTATGTAATTATTGCATAATAATCTATAATACGTGACCTCACACACCACCCATTCACGTCCCCCCCCCCCCCGACAGTGGATTACAGATGGCAAAGTTTTACCTGGAGAAGCCTTGAAGGGGGTTAGTTAAGTCGATTTGCAGCACGCCTGTTCGTGCTCCCTGGACAGCATGGCAGGGTGGGGGGCGCCAGGCCGGCTCCCGGGTCGGCCCTCAGCTGCCTCGCCTGGTGCAGGGTCCAATGTGGGAAGACCGCTGGCCTGGCATTCCCCCACCCACATGGGGCGGCTTCTTTTCCCATCCCCCTCCACACAAGCCCATGCTGGTGCACAAGGAGGGTGTCACCAGGCCCTTCCTCTGTCCGACGCGAGGGTTGGACTCTGGCCGCTGCCACCCCCTCAGTGTGCTGGAGCACCATCACTGGTGAGTGAGGCTAAAGCGAAATGGCCCAGATACAGAGTGCCACGCCTGGAGTGGGGAAGTCCCGAGTTCCAGTGCAATGCAGGGTGGATCTGGGTAGGTCACTTCCCCTCTGTCCACCTCAGCTTCCTTGTCTGTGAAGTGGGAATCATAATAGCACCTTTTTCTCAGGGCTGCTGTGAGGATCAGAAAGCTAGTATCTATAAAGCCCAGTGCCTGGGCATGTAGTAGGTGCAATATAAATGCTTGTTCCCCTCCCCCCTTGAATCTTGAGAACTTATGGATGGTTTGGGGGCAGCTGGACCCACCCTGAACTGAAGGCTGCTCCTCAGTGGCTTTGTTTCCCATTTTATGGTCCGTCGACAAGTATTTATTGAGTGCCTGCTGTGTGCCAGGCACCATACAAAGTGCTGGGAATTCAAAGGAAGGGAGAAAAGCCAATGGTTTTGTTTCCAACCAGCACGTCTACCGCCAAGCTGGCAGACAAGGTAGAGAAGGCAGTCCTGGAGCGTCTGAAGCCCCTTTTGGACCAAGTGAAGGTAACATCCCCCGCCTGCACTCATTGCCGAGGGCCCAGTGACCTTCCCTGGGTCTCTGGAGACTGCAGGCCGTGTCTGCTGTCTTCCGTGTGGAAGGCTGGGCCCATCCGGGTTCCTGACCTTGGGAGGACTCAGTGCTCAAGGGGGTGCCCTTGGGGCCACTCTTGCCGTCTGGCATCCTTCATCTGGCCCCCTTCCCTCTCCAACTGCCCCTGTGTGCAGTCGCACGTTTCCCACAGCAGCCCCCAGTGCTGCCTGGGAACTTGTTTGCTTTTGGGGCGACCTCCCCTCGGGCCCAATCATAGGCTTTCTCTGTTTGTCTGGCCTTGCTCCTAACTGACCCCCCCCCCCACCTTGTACCTGCACAGCCGGGGGTTGGGAGCCAGTGGAAGATGACCTTCCCGTGGATTCAGCCCAGGGCTCTTTGGTCACTGAAGGTGCTGGCCATGGCATCTGGGAAGGAGGCACTGCTCTTGGCACTCCTATTTTACAAATGAGGAAACTGAGGCACAGAGCAATTATGATCATGCATGCAGTGAGTGTCTGAGGCAGAATTTTAGCTCAGGCCTTCCTGCCTCCCAAGCCCAGAGCTCCAGCTGGTTCCAGGGAGCCAGGGGACAAAGTGTACAGAGTGGGGGACTGGGAGTCAGTCCTTCAGTCAACATTTATTAAGCACCTGTTGTGTGCCAGGCACTGTGCTAAGTGTTGAGGCTACAGAAACAGTCTAACCCAGGGGAGACAAGAGCAAGCTATGTACAAGACGAATGGGAAACCATTAACAGAGGGAAAGTGGCTCCCAGTAAAAGATGGGATTTTAGTTAGGAATTCAGAGGAAGCCAGGGAGGTTAGCAGTCAGACAGAAGGAGGGAGAGGGTTCCAGGCAGGGAAACGACCAGAGAGAAGGCTCAGAGCTGAGAGGTGGAACAGGCAGGAGGCCGGAGTCACTGGGTGGAAGAGTAGGGGAGGGGGAGGAAGGTGCACAAACCTGGAAAGGGAGGAGGAGCTTGTGAAGGGCTTTAAATGCCAAGCAGAGAAGCGATGGGGAGTCCCTGGCGTTTACTGAGTGTGTGCGGGGTGCTGTGGTCGGGCCTGCGCTTTGGTGGGTGAAGGGAGGATGAATTAGAAGGAGGAGAGACCCTCCCTCCCCAGGGGGAGGGGCAGGGCAGAGGGGATTGGATTATCAAGCCCTCACAGTAATGGAAATCCTTTTCTTTCTGCAGTTTCTATATTTTTAGGAAGGGTCTTGTAGGTGCCTGGGCTTCTCTCTGTCACACAAATAATCAGTCATCCCGCTCTGCAGGGAGCAGGCCTCAGTGGGGGTCCTTAGTCAGCTGAAGTCACTCCACAACTGCAGTGAACTCTGCCTGACTGCTGAGTGACCCTGGGCAAGTCACTCAACCTGTCTTGGTCTCCGTAAGATGGGGACAATAAGGAGAGCGCCTTCTGGGCAGGGTTGATGGGAGCCCTTTGCACTCCCTGAATGCTCGCTGCTGCTATTGGCTGCTGTGCCCCCTCCCCAGAGACAGCCAGCCAGCCAGCTCACTCCTCCCCCTCCCCCAGGATGGACAAGCACACTGGTCACTAGCTCCTCTGTCTCCTGGTAGGAAGCTGATGCACCTCTGAGGGAGCATTCCTCTGTACACAGAGCCATGGCCCAGGCTCCAGAGAAGGTAAGTCACCTGTGGAGAAGGTCGGTGGGCAGGGCAGTGGCTCAGCTCCAGCCTCGAGCTCAGACCTCCTGGTGCTCCTCACCTGTCATTGGTACCCAGAGGAAAGGAATCCACCTGAGGGTCATGCAGTATGTTCTGCCCAAGGCTCCTTCCAACCAAGTGTCTGCCAGGCCCAGCCTTAGGGATAATGGGAAGGCCTGTGGGGAAGGGGCACTCTTGGATGAAAACTGCCTATGTTGTCCTGCCTACCTCCCCCCCCCCCCATTGAAGTTATCCAGGATAACCTGGTGCTTCCCTCAGGTTATTTCTAAAAACCCTTCACTTGGCCACCACTGTGTGGGAAGCAAGCTGAAATACCATGTTGAGGTGCTTTGAGCGTTGTCTTTGCTGGCGGGCTTCCTCTGGCTGGGATGTTGGCCTGGCCGTCGCTGGGGAAGGCCCTGCTCTCCTGTCTAGGCCTTCGAGGTCTGACTGTGGCGGCGGCATCTGTCCGTCCCGCGGCTGGAAGGAAGCTGGACTGCTCCTAAGAAATGGCCACAGTCTGTGTCTGGGTCTGTTCCATTTTCTGCTTCAGCTGGTTGTTTAAATAGGTCTATTTGGAGGGGCTTCCACTTATGTGTGCAGTCTCTTCTTTTTGTTCTGATTTTGATCAGTTTGGACCTTAGCTCAGCCAGGTTGGCATTCTTGGCTGTATGTGGACCCCGATTCGTGGCTAATGCCCACATCGGTGGCCAGTTCATTTTGTGAGTCCCCCTGTGGCCTATGTGTCCTGTGCCTCCTGCCTCTGCTGAAAGAAAATACTGATTCTATCCCTAGGCTTGAACTGTGACCTCAGAGCCAGGTGCCCAGGATTGAGAGCTGGCCAGTAACCGGGAAGTAAAGCTATTTGTCTCATGAGTAATACAGGGAAGAGGCAATATTTGAACCCAGCACCTTGAGCTCCAGATCTAGGACTCTTTCAGCTGACTAATTCATGCCTGATTTTTTTTCTTTGGTGAGGCAGTTTGGGTTAAGTGACTTGCCCAGGGTCACAGAGCTAGTAAGTATCAAGTGTCTGAGGCTGGATTTGAACTCAGAACCTCTCAACTCCAAGGCCAGTGCTCTGTCCGTTGTACCACCTAGCTGCCCCCAAGCCTGTTTTTTAGTCAGCAATTCCGTTATCTGTGGCAGTTAAGACTGCTGTGTGATATTTGTATTTTACATTAAAACGTTGACTTCACAAGTACAATAACAAATACACACTCACTCTCCCCACGCATGGGAGGCGCAGTCCTCGTATCTGCCTGCGCCACCCATTCAGTCTCTGGTCCTTAGCTTAGCCCGGCTTTCAGAGAACTCAGTCCCACCTTCAAGTCCAGGCCCCTGGCTTCTCAGAGCTTCTACGTAGGGCTGGCTGTGCTGCCCCGCTCACCGGGTGGCCTCCCTGCCAGCCTGGCTCCAAGACAGACAGGGCTCAGACTCCTGGGTCTGGGGACAGAAGAACAGAAAGAGGGGAGCGGTCGAGGTCAGGTGTCTGGAGGGAACAGAGAAGGAGGCCCAGGACAGAGCCCGAGGGAGTTCGTAGGATTGGAGGGTGTGGTCTAGAGGACAGCCAGCCGAGGAGTCAGAGGAGGAGGAATGCCTGCCCTCCTCCCCTCTACTGTAGAAGGCCTCTGCCCAGAGGGCCTTCCTGATGCCCCAGGGCCTTTGTATTCGCATATGTCTCTAGTGTACCTCCCTCCCTCTCTCATCAGCCTGCATCTGGCTCTCCCCCTCCCTTCCCCACCTTCTCACCCTTCATCCCTCTGCCCATCCCTCCATCTCTGTGTCCCTCTGTCCATCCCTCCTTCCTCCCATCCGTCCCCTCCACCGCGCTCAGCTCTGCATCCTGGGATGCCTCTTCCTGGTCGTCATCCCCTTGGCCCCTTAATGTTCTGTCCTGCCTACTTCTCAGTGTGCCTGTCGTCTCCTGCAGGAGAGTAGAAGCTCCCTGAGGGTGAGGACTGTGTTGCTTTCGTCTTTCTGTCCCCTGTGGCCCAGCACAGGCTTGGCGCATAGTACGGACTTCACACCAATCCCTGTTGACTTGAAAGCAGTGGAGTCAGTGCAGTGACAGACGCCCCCCCAACTCAGGGCCGTCTCCTCCTCCCAAGGCCTCCCCTGTGACCCGGGCAAGGCCAGGGCTTGTGCTAGAGCCGCCCAGGTGATGGCCCCGGGCCGGCAGCTGCTGACGGTCACGGGTGAGGGGGCATAAAGGGCATTTTTGGAGATGTGTGACTGGAGATTCTCGGGGGGTCACCATGGGGCGAAATGAGAGAGGAGCAGGACTCGGGCCTCTGGCCTGGTGGTCAGGCCCTCAGCGGAGCATTCCTGGGGAGGAGTCACCAGCTTGGTAAGCTCTTCATCTCAGGCCCGGCGCAGACCTGGGTGGAGAGACAGATGGTGACCTTCAGGGGTGGGGGGGTTCTCACTCAGATGCTGCTGAGATGGCTCCTTTGTCTTGTCAGCGGCTTGGGCGAACCGTTGAGGTGGGCAGGTGGCTTCGAGTCAGGGAAACCACCATGATACAACAGCTCCAAAGCCCCGTAGATGGCAGGCAGGCACAGTGTTTCACGTTCTGTGCTTGTAGAGACAGGGTAGTGTAGTGGTTAGAGCACTGGCCTAGCCTCAGGAAGGCCCAGCCCTGAAGGCTTTTGAGGGGTAGGGGAGGTGCAGGTTTGTGTGGGAAGAGGGAGTTCCCGCCCTGGGACCTCCCCAGGCCCGCCTAGTCTGCATGTCCCCTCTCTTATAGACCTTACCCAGAAGGGAGCTCCCTGACTCTGCCCTAGGCTCACAGCCTGAGGCTGAGGGCTTCCAGGAGGAGGAGGACGGCCCCCATCTTTGGACCATGATGCAGCGCATGGAGGAGATGGAAGTATGTGGCTGGCGGGAGTGCTGAGCCCCGCCCAGGGTTGGGGAGGGGTTAGGCTGTGGCCATGCATCCTGGCTCACTCCTGGTGCCAGCTCCTTGGAGCTGGCGGAGGCCCTGGCCCTGGCCCTGACCAAGGCAGCTCACTTTGCTTTGGGCCCTTTCTGTGACCCTCTCCAATTGAGAGAGTGTACTGTGGGGCCCCTAGGGGCCAAGGATCTGGGTTTGAATTAAGGCTGTCTCCCTTGTCAGAGTCTTTAGGGCCTAGTCTCCATGTGTCCTTCAGTGTGCCCTGCACTGAGCCTCTGGACCCTCCTCTCCCTCTGAACTGGGAAAAGCTACATGCTCCCACATCACAGGGTCATTGTGAGGGTCAAGTGAGGTCATGCCTGGGAAACACTTTCTGCCCCTAAAAGCATGTTGGTCTGGCCTGGAGAGAAACGGGGGATATTCTGGTCAGAGCCAGGAGCTTTTTGGGGTGTTTGTAAACTTTTGGCGGCTGGCCTGTTTGTCTGTCTGTCTGACTGGCTGGCCGGGTATCTGGCTATCTGACTGGCTGGCTGGGTGTATGTCGGTCCGACCAGCTGGCCAGGTATCTGGCTGTCTGTCTGACCACCTGGCTGGGTATCTGTCTGTCCAACTGCCTAGCCGGGTGGCTGTCTGTCTGACTGGTTGGTTGGGTGTCTGACGGGCCGGCAGGATGTGTGTCTGTCTGACTGCTGGTTGGGTGTCTGGCTGCCTGGCTGGCCAGTCTGGCAGGGTGTCTGGCTGTCTGACTGGCTGGCCGGGTGTGTGAGTATGTCTGACCAGCTGGCTGGTTTTGTGTCTGTCTGACCAGCTGGCAGGGTATCTGTCTGTCTGGCCAGGTGTCTTATCTGTGTGACCAGCTGGCCGGGTGTCTGTCTGTCTGACTGGCTGGCTGGTTTTGTGTCTGTCTGATTGGCTGGCTGGGTGTCTGGCTGTCTGTCTGCCTGGCTGGCCAGTCTGGCAGGGTGTCTGGCTGTCTGACCGGCTGGCCGGGTGTGTGAGTGTGTCTGACTGGCTGGCTGGTTTTGTGTCTGTCTGACTGGCCGGGTATCTGGCTGGCCAGCTCGTTGTCTGTCTTTCTGTTTGTCTGCCTATCTGCCTGTCCTTCTGCTTGTGTATTTAGCTGGCTGGCTTGGGTTTGGTTGTTTTTCCCACAGCTTCTGCCCCTCGCGGTCATTGCTTGGCAGTTTTTCTCCTTTCTGGGTCTGGTTCAAAGCCCTGGTTGGCATCCTCTTCCTCTCCCTTGTCTGTCTCTCTCTGGTGGGGAAGGGCTGCTCCTTGCTGTCAGGTCATTAACGCCTGCTGTTCATCTGCTCGTCCTCAGCAATACCAGGAGGCCGTCCGGCAGAGATTCAGTCAGATGGTCTACACTGATCTCGATTTCGGGACCGCACAGGGGAGAAGCAGTGAGTAGTGCCTCCTCTTCACTTCCTGGGTACACGTGGGCTTTGCACTGTGGTTGCTAGGCTATGCTCCCCATGCTGCCTCTGTGATGGGGTGGGGCTCGTGCCCGTCAAGGGCTGTCTCTCTGGATGGGAGTTGGAAGGAAGGAAGCTCTGAAGGACAAGGGGTGCTGTCCCTCTCGTTGCTGTGAGAAGTAGAGGCCATGCAGGCTGAGCCCTTTGGTGCCTGGGAGATAAAGAACGGATACGTCCAGGAGAGGACTCCCGGCCGACCCAGGGGATTGGCCGTGGGTCAGCAACGGTCATTTGACTTTGCCTTCCTCGGTGAGCGGGTGTAACCAGAACAGACTGGCCCATGATACTGGAAGAGGAGCAGTCCAAAGAAGGAGCCTGAGGTTCAGAGTGGACCTCGAAGAGGAGGTCTGCAGTCCAATGACCCAGCAGTCTTTCTGTGATAAAATGTGCCCTGCTCATTGAGGCCTGGTGGAAGTGGGATTGGGGAGGGCGTCCTGTCCTCAGAGGAGTCACTGCTGCTTTTGCTACTGCATGGAGCTGTCTGCGCCTGAGGAGGGGGGGTCAGGACCAGGCCACTGCTTCGCCTTCCTGGGGAATGCTCTGGGTGGGCCCTGACTCCCTCAGGCTGCCTGCACTGCCTCCTGCAGCATTGGCCTCCCAAGGATCCAGCGTGCAGGGTCTCTTGGCAGCTAGCACCAGCCGCGGGCTGGCAGCACCACTTTGGGCCCCGGTGGGGGGGGATTATGGTCTCCAGCAGATCATCGAAGCCAAAATGGACTGAAAATGAAAGTTACCGAGCGAGCAAGCATTTATTAGGCACCTACTGTGTGCCAGGCCCTGTGCACAGGCAGAAATGACACCATCTCTGCCTCAAGGAGGTGACAGGAGCCTGGCTGAGGCTGGAGCTGTGCCTGGAAGGAGGACGGGCTGGGGCCTCAGAGGTGGCAGCGCGGAGCGGGACAGCTCCCTGCGGTCTTGGCTGAATGCTGGCCAGTGTGCTCAGCGCCTTCCCTTTGCTGCAGTCCGGCCTGCTCGGTCTGCTCCAGACACTCCCTGAGTCTCCTCTCCTTATAACCTCTTTCCCCTGGGAAGCTCTTTGCTTCTCTGGCCTAAGGGGCTGCTGCAACAGGCTGCATCCTCTAAGCCAGGCCAAAGTCTTAGCCTGCCATTGGGAGCCCCCGGCAAGAGGTGCCAGAGCTGGCCCTGGGAGTCAGGAAGGGCCGAGTTCAAAGCTGGCTGTGTGACTCTGAACAAGTCACCTCATCACTGTCTGCCTCAGTTTCCTCGTCTGTAACATGAGGAGCCTCATTTTACATGGTACCTCCCTTCCAGTGTCATTGTGTGGATGAAATGAGATCTTACTTGGAAAGTGCTTAGCACAGTGCCTGGCACATAGTAGGTGCTTAATAGATGCTGCTTCTCCTCTCTTCCCCCTTCCCATTCCTCTCAGTTGGAAGAATTCCCTGATGTTGGGAAGAGGGGGGGTCTTGGGGGGAAGGATGATGAATTGGGTTATCTCTAGATCATCCAGTTTGAGATGTGAGACTGAAGCTCAGGACAGAGACTGGGGCTGGGTATAGAGAAGTGGAGGGTCATCTGTGAAGAGTTCAGAGAGCAGCAAGAGCAGGGCCTAAGGCAGAGCAGGTGTGAGCCTGACAGAGACCCGAGCAGAGTGAGGAGAGAGGGCTGAGAGAGGACAGAGTCTGAGGCTGCAGACAGCTGGAAGAGGGAGAGGAAGGAGGGGGAGAGGAAGGCCATGAGGAGGGCAGAGGGCTGGGGAGCAGGGGGAGGGGAGGAGGCAGGCAGGCAGCGCCCGCGGACAACTCTTTCTGGGAGTGAGTTTGGCGAGAAAAGGAGGAAATTTGGGATGAGAGCCTGAGAGGGCGGATGGGAGGGTCTCCCCCGGTGACTTGGGCATGTTTGTGATAGAGGAGGCCTGAGGATGAGAGACAAGAGGCATAGGGGTCAGGATGGGTGACTCTGGCAAGAAGGGTCACCTCATTATCATTGAGTGGAGGGAACGAGGGGACGCTGGCATTAAACTGCTCACCCAAGTCACTCCTTTGGTTTCTCGGAAATCTCCAGTTGGATTTCCCACAGGGCTCTGAGAGCCAGGGTGGGCCATCACCCGAATTAATCGGCCCACCCTTTCCTTGTCCTCCTCCTGTAGACAGAGAAGGCCCAGCAGTAGATGAAAGGCCAAGGCCGCCTCACCCCTTCCAGCTCACCAAGGGAGCAGCCAGCAGAGAGCCCAAAGTCAACATTTTGCTTGAAAAACCTCTGGATGAGAAGTGAGTGGGGGCCAAAGATGGGAGGGTCCTCTCGGGGACATCTGGGTCTGTGCCCAGGCCTCGGCGGTCAAGGGAGCGAATTCCAGCTGCGTTCTTTTCTGGTGGCTTTCCAGGTATTTTGATGAAACTACAGACATGGAGGAAAGAGGGGAGAAAAGGGCCCCCTCTTCGGCCTGTGTCTTCAGCAGCCCTTCAGCAGCCAGAGGGCAGCATCCCCCTGTCCATGCCTCAGGAGATGCTCCGGAACCTTGGTGATTACCAGGACAGCTACCAGCAGTACCTCCGGATAATCTCTCACGAATCCATTGGCACCTTCAACCCGTGGATTATAGTGGAGAGGTGAGTGGCGCTGAATCCCGTGGCCAACACGTGGGCCTCGATGCTCCGCGCCTCAGGGGTGGGGGTGACCCGACGTGGCCCCGTCATGAGGGGAGGCTGCAGAGCTGGCCAGCAGTGACCACTCCATCCCAGGTGGGCTGCTGGGTCTGAAAATTATGTGGCAATCGCCTGTCTGTGGAGAGAGATTTTAAATGTGTTTGTGTGTATTGGGGGGGTGGGGGGAGGGGCAGGAGCCTCCTTGTTTCAAAGGATCCCCTGGATGAGTGATTCGTGTATGCAAATGTGGCCCCCGGCTGTCCCAGCTCTCAGGGGGGCTCCCCACCTGTTTTGTGAGCTGCTGGGTTGGGGCAGGGAAGACGGGCTGGCTCCTGACCCTGCCGTGGCCCCCCGCAGCCTGGCAGAAGAGCTTGTCGAGGAGGCCCTGGAGGATGTGGCGGCCGAGCTGCAGGATGTGTGTGAGGATTATGCCGAGGCCGTGTTCACGTCCGAGTTCCTAGAGCCCTCAAAGTGAAAGCCAGACCTGCCAGGAACATTCCTCACAAACCTTCCCTCTGTCTGTTGCCCCTTGAAATGAAGCCTGGCAGTGCCTGCCGCCTCTGCACACGGCATCTTGCTGGTCATGTCTGGTCACCTTGTAATGGGGGAGGGGCAAGAGCAGAGAGGACAAGCCAGCCCACCTCTTCTCTGAGCATTGGGCAAAAAGAGAGGGGCCCTGGCCAGGCGGCATCAGTCTTTGGGGGGCAGGCCCAGGGGAGCTTGTCCTCAGCCCATGCAGTGACCGTCTGACTTGTGAGGAGGGTCTCACCACTCTTGGGCCAGCTGGGGATCCTAGAATACTGAGTCACCCATAGAAGAGGGCCAGGCTGGGCAGCAGGCCCAACCCCTGGAGATGATGTGCAGTGGGGCTGTGCCTTAAGGTGGTGGTGGGGGGTGGGGTCAGCTTGGACCCCCAGGGTGGGGGCCAGAGTGGAGCACTTGCTGGGATGGGCTTGGTGGGGCTTTACCCCAGAACCTCCCGGGCCTTTCTCCTGGGGTGGGGGGCGGGGGCGGCACACGGTGTAGCCTCCCCTTTGGAGGAGATTTCAGGGCGGAGGAGTTGGTGTGGCCATTTTTTAAGGGCTGGTGATTGTCTGGTTGCTGGCTTGTTTTTTAAATAAAGTCTTGTTTTTGAGAACATCTCTGTCCAGATTTGTCATCTAGATTTCTGAGAAAATCCCCCTCGACCCTGCATGTCTTGGCATGGAGACTGCTGCCGTCTCTCTCTCTCTGCAGAGGGCTTTTGTTAGCAGACTCATTGTTGGTGTTAGAAACAATTGTGGAAACTTCAGGTTTTGTGGGTCCCAACATCCCTTGGGTTACGGTCCAGCCTGATCCTCCTCAGTCCTCCATCCTGAGCAGCCAGACCATGGCCTCTCTGCACGGGGGCTGAGCTCACTCGATGTTCCCAGGGGCCAAGCAGACCTTTCAGCCCCACCAGAGCTCCCATGGGAGCTGGTGAGTCAGCAGCGCCATCCATGGCTGCCCAAGCTAGCCCACAGAGGTGCCCAAATTTATTTGGCCTATTGCCCCCTTTTCAAAAAAAAAAATTACTCAGTGCTCCCCCCCCCAAAATCTACTTTCTTTAACCCTTTAATTTTTTTTTTTAATTTGCATCATTTTTTAAAAATACAAAATACATATTTTTTTGAAATGATGCATCTGAAATTTAATAATTTATTGTAAATTTGTGGGGATTTTTCCTGCATTGAAATTTGGATGACACAATATTGCGTTGTATAACCATATAGTATTGTACTGTAAATAAGTCATTACACACACATATTCCTGCCAGTGCATGCTGGACTCCTCCCCCTCCCCCTCATCCCCCCAACATTTGCTTGTTAAGACCTGACCGCTTGGCCACTGATCTTGATAACTTGCATTTTGTGTGTTTATTTGGAAAATAATGTAATCCCTATGACTTTAACTCTGTTACATAACAGATGAAACACAAAGGAGGGGATTTCCCGAATACTCTTCTTTCCTTATGCTTCCTTATTTTTATTCAATGCCCCCAGTTGTACCTGAGCTTACTACCGCCCCCTGGATCGGTCCGGCGCCCTCCAGGAGTCAGTATTGCCCACTTTGGGAACCTGTGATCTAATCCCAATAGACCAAGGTCTCCCAGGTCACCATCAGAGGCCAGAAAGGCTTTGGACCAGCCGACAAGCATTAAGAGCCTCCTCTGGGCAAGGCTTGTATGAGGCATAGAGAGGGCTTACCCACATAAGGAAAGCACCGCTGCCCTGCCCTCCAGGAGTTTGCATTCTCCAGGCCAAGGAGTAGAGAACCAGGGAAATGCCAGATGAGGGGGAGGGGCGATGAGAACCAGGATAGCATTGAGTACCGCCTTGGCTGAGCCCCGCAGAGAAGTAGGGATTCCAAGCCAGCCTGGAGACAATGAGGCAGGGGTGAGGATGAGCAGGGAACTGGGGCCCACACAGGTGCCCCGGCAGAGGTGGCATCAGTGGCAGAGAGGAAGATGGCCCCCAAAGGTCGGAAGAAAGGACCTGGCCCAGCCTCCTGTTTTCAAGCCCTCATTTTACGGATGAGACAACTGAGGAAGCCCAAAGGGCATGGGCGTGCCCAAGGTCACCCTGGTGGTCTCAGCTGAGCCACCATCCCAGTTGACCTGATTGCGTGTTGCCCACCTCTTGTGAGCCTCTCGGTAGGCCTGGTCCACTGTGCCAGTCTGGAAACAAGGAAGGAGAGCCGAACGTGACGTTGGCCATGCTCCGGGCCTGGGGCCTCACCAAGCGGCAGACACCTCGTGTCCCGCACCTCGGCCTTCGGCCTGTTTAGAGCACAAGAATGAGCAGTCCTATTGGAGCCTGAGTGCTCATCTTCTCAGGGATGGAGATGTCTAACCTCATCTATCTGTCTGTCTGTCTGAGCACAGCCCTGGGACCAGAGATCTGTGTCCATCCTACCGGACAGGCAGGTCATGATCTTGTCTTGCACGAAGAAGACTGGTTTGGGATTGAGCTGATAAGTCAGTCACCCACTATGACCTCAGAGGAACTTCCTGTGGAAACGCCCTGCACCAATGTAGTTAATTTATAGTCCTGAGAATCTCCTGCAGGACCGAGTGGCCAGGCCGCATCACCTCTGCTGGAACTGCTGCAGCAGCCTGCACCTGGTCTCCCTTGCCCGAGTCTGGTCTACCATGCACCTGACCACATCGCTCCCTCCAGCGGCTGCCACCCCACGACTGTCACATGAAAGGCAAACTCGCCCTGGCCCCCACTCACCAGGCTGGGCTCCCTCTGTTCATCACCCACAGCCCACCTCCCATCTCTGGCCCCATGAGAACGTGGACTCCCAGGTCCTTGTATCCCCACAGGGCCTTGACTCCCAGTGCTTTCTTTAGAAATCAAGCCCAACCCCCTTGTTCTACAGATGAGAAAACCGAGGCTTTGGGAAGCCAAGTGGTCGGCCAGTCAGGATCAAAGGCCTGGTTGTGTGGGAGGTGGGGAGTGTTTGTTGATTGCCTCATGGACGTGGACCACTGCTCCACATCACAGCCTAGGAGTTTTGTTGCTAAAATCTAGGTAAACGACACCCGCAGCAATCAGACCTCTTCACTGCTGGCCTCGCAACCCTGTCTGGTGGGACTTGGCCTGGTCCTTGGATTCACCCTTCTCTTCTCTAGCTGTTCATGAACCAGCCCTTTAATAGTAGACCCTAGAATTTTGCCAGGATGTGAGCTCAGGTTTATGAGGACAACATCGGCCCTTCCCAGGCTCGGTGATCGCACCTGGGCCCCGGGGTTGAGCTCTGCGAAGCTGGTGACAGACCCCAACTCACACGGGGCAGCCGGGTGCTCTCTGATGAGCTCTGCTTACCTCATGGCCCGCCCTCTCTTAGCCAAATGGATTTCCTTCTTGCCAGTCCAAACCCGTTGTTCTCCTGGAGCAGAAAACAGGAGCCACATGTAAGCTGTTGGTCTCTGCCTTCTCTGCCACCTGGCATCGTTGCGTCCAACACCAGTAGCTGCTGAGACCTCCAATGCTGCTCATGTCCCCAATATCCTATGCTGGAAAAGGACACACACACACACACACACACACACACACACACACATTACACTGACACATGTACACATACACACATATGCATCCCCCCCACACTCACACCATACACACATACACACACTCACACCTACACACATATGCACACCCTACATACACTCACACACCTACACACATGCAAAGCACACACATTCATACATTCACACACCACACACATGCACACACATGCACTCACACATGTACACACACACCATATTCACTCACACATCATACTGACACATGTACACTCATACTTATACATACTCACATACCCTACACTCACACGAATACACACATTCATATACACTCATACACTCACCCACCACACTCACACATACACACCATGCTCATACATATGCACAGCCACACACATACACACATACACACACATTCATACTCATACACATTCACGAACCACACACATGCACACACACTCACACATGCTCACACCACACTCACATTCATATGTACACTCGCACACCTACACACATACACCTATATAATATACATACCCATCCATACACATATTAATACACACACACTCACTCATGTGTACGCTAACACATACATACACCTACACGCATGCTCACATTCACACTCATACCACACACTCACACGTGCACACACACACACAGTCGGTTCTCCTCACTTCCTTTCCTCTTCTGTCTCAGTGCGTCCTGGCCTTGAGCCTGCCTGCCGGCTCTGACTGGACTACCCTACCCTTTGGCATTTCTCCTCTGCTCCTGCCCACTCTTTTTTCCATCTTATGGACATGTGTTTTGTTTTCTTCATCTCATTGGTTTGGGGAGCTCCCTGCGCAGCCACATTGCTCTCTTTGGATGCTTCCCGCTTCTCCTCTTCTGTCACATCGTCCGTTCCCTGTCACTGGTTCATCCCGTCTCAGTCACCGTTCTTGGGGGTCCTTCAAAGTCTGCCTTCCTGGGGTTGGTGGGTGTCAGACCTCGGCAGACTTTCCTTTACTTTATCACTAACTTTCAGTCTCCTTTCCTGTTGGTAAGAGTCCAGTTCAGAACAGAAGTTTCTCTTATTGATTCCTCCTCTTCTCAAAGGGTGGAATTATCATTAAGGCAAATAAAGGATCAGCTGCTCAGTTTTTGGCAGAGATAGATGCAGTAGACAGCCAGAAAACTGAAGCCCTCCCTGTTAGCCTCTCCCTCCTTTGAGCCAGGGTTGGGACCTATTTCCCAAGCTTCTCATGTGTTTCCTCCTTCTGACCAAGTGGTCTGTAGTCCACTCCAATGACAACATCACATCTGGGGCTGCTTGTTTTGGGTTGAACTGAATCTGGCTGATATGGCTGTCTTGGGTGATCTGAGGAATGTGGCCCATCTCCACCACCAGCCTGGTGAGTGAGGGGCAAGTGGGAGAGAGGCCAGCTGTGGCTGGGTGACAACACCACCATTCTCCCCTCTCCTACAGGAGCATTGCACTAGAATTGTATCTACTTACCACATCGGTATCTGTAGTCTAGGGATACAATTAGGGCAGGGATGTGCTGGTTAATGCTTTAACAACTGACTCTCTGTCCCCCAGATGCACATGGGATACTTTCAAATTTAATCTGCATAGTTAATATCCTCACTATCACTTTTCAAAGTCTACACAATCAAAATTATAAATCAAGCTTTGTAGCATGTGCTGATTTTTTAAGGCATAACCGAGCACACCGAAAATTTAACAATTAGGTTCCAGGCTTAGAACCCCTGAAGGGGTTCAGAATAAAAGCCACTTTGCTGGTCGCTGCTATCAAGGGACCGGCTGTCTCCCATTATATGCTGGTTACACAAAAGTCCATCCCCAAAGCCGCTACACCTCTTTATCTGGGATACCAAGGGAGCAGTAAAAAGGCTAGTAAAAGTGATCCAGAATGAAGCCGGTGAAGGAATCCACAAGAGCAGATGAGCTCTTGGGAGGCGAGATGAGCTGCGAGCTCCCACAGAGAGAGTGCGCTCTGTTCTAGCAGAGTCTACAGCTGCAGGAATGCAGGGCCAGTGTTGGGAGCCAGCTTCCACACGGGGCTGGGCCTCACGGAGATCGC